GGAATTATTTCCTTAAACTTGGTAACAGCATTGCCAGATAGACATCTGCATTGTCAGAATTGTTTCCCACATAGAGTATAATCAATTAATGTAAATTACAAAGTTATTAGAAAATGGTCAGCCGGAAGAGGGTTATGGGGAACAACTTAAAACAGTGAGTGGGTTTATTTAGTTTGAGAGAAGCCAACTGAGTCTAATAATGAACAGAATGCATTGTTGAGGCTGTCATTGTCGGCATCTACATGAATATTAAAGTCGCCTACTATGATTATTTTATCTGTACTAAGCACTAAATCAGACAGAAAGTCTGAGAATTCACTTAAAAACTCTGAATAAGGAGCAGGTGGACGGTATACAATAACAAACAGAACAGGCTTTTGAGTTTTCCAGTTTGGGTGTGAGAGACTCAGGGTGAGACTTTCAAATGAGTTATAACTATGTTTAGGTCTTGGGTTGATTAATAGGCTTGAGTCAAAGATCGCTGCCACACCTCCACCTCGGCCTGTGTTTCGAGGGATGTGACAGTTACTGTGACTAGGTGGAGTGGATTCATTTAGGCTGGCATATTCTTCCTGCTGTAACCATGTTTCAGTAAGACACAATAAGTCAATGTGATGTTCACTTATCAAATCATTCACTAACAGAGATTTAGATGAGAGAGATCTGATATTTAATAGTCCACATTTGATTGTCCTATTACTTTCTACTATAAGAGGAGTCATCTTAATTTTAATTAGGTTCTTATGAATAACTCCTCTGGAGTTGATTCTTGATTTATATAATTTAGGTGGGCGGGGGGCAGACACAGTCTCTATGGGGTACTGGGAGCGTTGGGTGGGTAGCAGCTGCAAGGAGACAGCAGAGAGGCGTGTAAGACTGCGACCCTGCATCCTGGACTCAACTCTGGGTTGTCATAATTTAGGTTGTAAAACAAACTCGTCCAGATTTCTAGATAAGAGAGCCGCACCACCCAAAGTGGGATGGATGCCGTCTCTGCTAATCAGAACAGGTTTTCCCCAAAATGTTTTCCAGTTGTCTATGAGGCCTGACTTGTTAACTTATTAACGTCACAGTGACCAGACTTCCTCAATCAAGTGTGAGTTTCCTGTTATATGTACAAGAAGCCACACACCCCATCTGACATTTTCAACTTCTAACTTCACCGACAAGAAAGAGGAAGGAACAAGTGCGTCCTGTGTTTAAGTGCAGCATTTAAAGAAGCAAGCAGAAACATTGCTGTTCTCTACCGGGAGACATATCTGGCATGATGGACCCACAGCTGGGTTATGCTGTAGCCTTTGGCTGCATTTTGGTTCTGGGTCTGCCTCTCAATGCTGTGTCACTGTGGATTCTGTTACGCCGCCACAACCTCAAATCCCCCAGTGCTGTCTTCATGATCAACCTGGCCATCTCAGACCTGCTGCTCGTCATCTCCTTGCCCATGAGGGTCTATTTTTATGCCACAGGCACCTGGCCAATGAGCAGAATGGCATGCCGTTCGATCACAATGCTCTTTCGCGACAACATCCGCTCCAGCTGCATCTTCATTACATTCATCAGTGTGGACCGGCTGCTGGCTGTGGTTTACCCTCTGAGGTCACGGCATCTTCGCACCTCATCGAATGCCTGGAGAGCTGCTGCTCTTATTTGGCTGTTTTTGTTGCTGTTGCACATCCCAGAATTTGTGGACTCTGCAAGAGACTTAAACAACTACACTCAGTCAACCTGCTTTGAATTTCTTCCGCGTCGTCCTAGATCAGCAATGCAATATTTTCAGGCTGTGTTAGTGTTCACCATGCTGGCAGTCAACATTGTGTCCACTGCTCTGGTGTCTTGGACTCTACACAAACATGTGACAGACTCTGCAAGGGTCAACAAGAAGATGAATGTCATGCTGATTTTTGTCATGAACTTGGTTATGTTCACCATATGTTTCTTGCCTTTGTCAATTGGTTTACTCATGACTTCAGCACCTTCACACCTGACACCTTTGATATGTCTTACTACTGTGAACTGTTGTCTGGATCCACTGTTGTATTACTTTTCCTTAGATGCCTTCTGGAAGAAACCAGAGCATGTGGATCTTGCAAGAGAACAATAGACATAGGACATATGGTGTTCCTATTTTCATGAGATGGTACCAGATTTCCCATGTGTCATTCAGATTTTTCTTTTTTTTCAGCCAATAGGTTTTTTGGATGTGGATTCAACCTTTGGTTCCGAGTTTGACTGTATTATGAGTTTTATCAAGAAGTGAAATGTTTGTGTAACTTGCTGATATAGGGATGTAGAACGGAAGTGTATAACTGTTACTTTCTTGCCAAAAGTTAGAAAAGACAAATAGCACTCTCATGCCAGTACATTTAATATAAAGTTACAGTCAGGAGATGGTTATCTAGCTCAGCTCAGATTGTAAATATAGGGAAATAGCTAGTCTGGCTCTGATAGAAGGTACAAAAATACATAAAATGGCTAAGAACAGTCTCATAACCCCTTAAAACAGCCTGTTTTTACACTTTAGTTTCTATATCAATAATAAATTTGGCAACAAAGTGAATTAGTGTGTTTCCCAAAACGTTTACATCTTGAAACTAACTAGATCGTCTGCCATTTTGTGGCTGAATCTTGTTATAACTTGCCTTCATTTGGAACTGAACTTTGAAATGTAAGATGTATGTTTATGTGTGAAACACCAAGCTGGTTTTCAGGCAATTAAGAAAGGACCCTAAAGGTTTTGAGTGAAAAACAGGACCGACCTTTTTAGCACCCTCCTTCTGCTTTTGTGTTTTTTATTTTGTATATTAACATTATTTGACTCCCTTCTGTTCTCTGAATGTTATAAATCATTTGATGTGAGTTGGCCTTTTGTCTTTTCTGAATGTCTCAGCTTTGCAGCCAGCAGATCTCGAATCCTAAGCCCCACCAGATGGAAGGGCGTCAGTATAAGCCTACAGCAGACTCTAAGGCTCTAGATTACTTCATCTGCAGATCTGAAATGACCTAAAAGTGATCACTGCTAATGCAATTAGATACTGAGGGTTGGCAAAATAACCTCTCTCTGACAGGTTTTCCCTATATCAACCTAATAGTAGACATTACCATGTCAAATGAGGCAAACGGTAGAACACAGGATGAACGTTATCTGTTCGAGATCTGACCACATAAACATTAAGACAAAATTCAGAAATAATAAACCCTCATACCTGATGAGGCAGAGAGGAAAGCTGTGATGCAAGAGCTAGATAAAGATGATGACATTGGAACCAAGTGCACCATTACACTGGCTTGTGCAAGAAAAAAGAAAAGCTTAATATGTTTGATTTGGTTAGTCTTGTTCTTTGACGATGAGAAACAAGTGACATGATTTCACTGGGTCTGAGGTTTTAGTATTAAATTAAATAAAGCATTAACACATGCTACATTTTGTCACTACTTTATTCACAGACATATTTCATTTGCAGACGAAATATACAGATTAAAATTGGCTTTGTTTAACTACCATATCATATAATATGCTCCCTTTCAGTAGTACTAACTTTAGTCCAGTCTCTGACTCTGGACTAAGGCTTTAAACATTGTTTTACAAAACAATCTAACAATGCCGCTTTTCTTTTATAGATAAACACATGCAAGGGAAAGCAAAGACATTATTGTAAAATGATTCACAAATACAGCGATGAAGCTCGGTAAAAGAGAAAAGCTGATGATAAATGAGAGCATCAGAAATAAACAGGTCTTCACTCTTTTTAATTAACAAACAATGAAGTCTAATGCCCAGTGTAACCGTCTTTAAGCTCAACTGTGAAATGATGCTTCTTGAGAAGAAAGTGAAAAGCAGAAAGGGGAGGAAGGAAACAACTGGCAGGCAAGAGGATTAAGCAAGCAGCTAGTCATCAGCAGTTACATGTTTACATTACAAAGACCATGAGAAAAATGAATGATTATTTAAATCTACAAGGCTTCATGCTCTGCCCAGATGAATGTGTTAGTAGAAGTAACACAATGTCACTAACTAAGCTCAAGAGCAGGGGGAAAAACAAAACCACAGTCACCTTGACAACACATGGAGACAGTGATCTCACCCAACAACAGTAACCAATAACACAGATCCCTAATGAGACACAGGAAAAGTCTTGAAATTATAATTCATTGTTGGCTTAAGAACTTTGCTACAAGGAAAATCCTATGATAGAACCTAGATAGCTTAGTATTGCATCACACTCCAGGAAAAAAACAAACCTACAGGAAAGAGAATGAATAGGCAGGTAGTGAAATTATTAAAAACAAATCTTCTTTGTGAAATTGTAAAAAAAAAAAAATCCACTTCTTTTACAAAGAACATCAAACCAACATCACAGGTAAAGTGCAACTCAGACGTGATCAGATCCACAAGAGGGTGCTACAGTGGCTGAGGAAGTGACAGGAGATGTGCTTTTTTTGTAGGTGGTGGGACGACACAAACTACCATCGTGTTTACGCTTCATTGCAGATAATCGTCTCCACCACAAAAGTATTTTCCAAATGACGGATATGGTTGCAGTCACTGGCCTCGCGCTTGCTGATGCCTGTGAAGGAAACAGGATGAGATGCAGCGAGGGGATGAGCAATGTGACTTTGGTTGGTGCATACCAAGCTTCAGATCTAATCACAACAGTTTAAAATAGCAAAGCTCTTTCTGTCCCTGAAACAAAAACACAGACTGTACTGCCATCTATCAGGTGAATAACACTCTTTTTTTTTAAAAATACTTTTTTCAACTAATCCCAACTTACGTCTGTGGGTGACACGGCGTTTCAGGCGGTAGGTATCCTTCCCGTTGCACAGACGAGAGATGAAGGGTCCCAGCTGATGTATATTGTGCACTTTGCCAGTCACCATCATCTCCTCATGGATGATGTAGGTCTGAGGCAAGTATGTTCCCTTCTGCGAGACACAGCAAGGTACATTTACCAAAACAACAAGCTCACTGGGATCAGGTTTTCCAACATTAAAGGACTAGATAAATTAAAAACAGAACGGCCAGAATGACTGATGCAACATGGTGGCAGGTGTGACACATCCCAGAAGCCCCAGTGCCGCATTGCTTACGATATGTTCCTTCCAGTTTGGCTTGATCACAAACTTCTCTATAAATGTCTATCAAATGTGCAATGCCCTCATCTATTCACTGACCCCATCGCTGCTGTTGCTCTCGTCCGTGTTTATTTATAACTAGTCTGTGAGGGGCCACAACTGAATGGTGATCACAGGCAATAAAACACATTAACTCCGATCTGACAACAGTCACATGGTCAGAGAATGAAAATGAATTGAATGAAAAACCACATATGGAAGTGGCTCAGATGTGATTTGAAAAAATCCAATTTGGTTTGTTCACACTTTTGTGAAATGGTCAGAGCTGAGTCCCCTTAGAGAGGGGAAAAATGGGATTTGAGTCACTTCAGCAAGTGATGTGTATGTAGCTACTGTGACGGGGGCCAAGCAGCAACCTCTGAGGCTGAGAAATGAAGTCAACGAGGAAGTCCCAAAACCTGCAGTTCCTCGAATGGCCACTTGAGGCTGACTCCAAAAAGGTCAAAAGTCAATCTCCACAGACTGCCCTCAGAAATAAACATGCTTATAGCCTGGTACGAAAAACAGTTTTGGTCTTCATAGCTAATTTCCCCTTCCATGACAATTGTATGGGCGGTGAATTTTTATATAACTCACTTGTTTAAATTACATTGAGTTTTTATATACAGTCAGTGGTCATCACACTATATGAGCTAAAACGATCGATTGTCATGCCTGACGCCCATTTTCGGTAACAACACCTGACAATTGCCGGGCAGGGCTATTATCGAGCTAAAATCGTGTAGTCTGAACCCGAGCATAACACTGCAGCTATGCTACCTTGACATTGATGAGAAGCTCCCACAGGTTCCGTGGCGGCATCACAATGGTGGTGTTGAGCTCAATAACATAGCACTTATCCAGAGCAATGTCATGGTAGGCGGTCAGTCCCTGGAAAATAAACACATTATTAAACACAAACTCCAGAAACCAGTGTTCTGTTTCTTTTTTAATCTTATGTTTCAGTTCTACTGGCAGTGTCTAATGCAGTTGGATAATACCTCAGGAAGTATGAAATTAATTGCCAAAGGTGGTCCCTAATCCTACTGACTTTTTCTCTACCATCCTCATCAGGTAAAAATGTCAATTTGTCCAGTGTTTTGTGACTGAACACTGTGCCTGAAAAGCAAACAAAATTCCTGACATTATGCTCATCAGCAAATGTCACCATGTGTACACATTAAACTAAAATAGTGAACATGGTAACTGCTTAACATCAGCCAGTGTGTGAGCACATCGGCGTGCTGACATTAGCGTAAAGCACCACAGAACATAAAGTGCCTAGATGTCAAATGTGTGTGTTTTTGTCCTCACCCTGTGGAAGTCGTGGATTATATCAGCAGGGTCGCTGCCTCCAAAGTGAGGCACGGGCACAGTGATCTTCTCATAGTTGTCAGCCAAGTATATGCCGACATTTTCCTCCAGCTCCTGACGCCCACGAAGGGGGGCATACACAGAGTCTTCATAAAGCACCCGGCAGTGGAACAGGTTTTCCTCTGGCATCTGCACACACATGCACTTAGATCAACACACCAGCTGCAACACTTGGAAATCTGTGGCAAGAGTATCCTTATTAATCAGAAGTAATAGAGGAGTAAGGACATCAAGTACGGAGCAATTTGAGGCGTATATTTGCATGTCTTACATGAGGTATAAAGTAGTAGCGGTACACATAGATGGAGGCAAGGACCAAACCAGCCATGAAGACAACCAGCCCAAATGTCAGGCAGCACAGGCCGTTGAGGGGAGACTTCTTGGGCCGCAGCGGCAAGACCAGCTCCTCCTCATCCTGGAATACACACACACACAGAGCTTGTGTATTAACACTTCAACAAGACACAGAAAAGCATGTGCAGGCAGCTTCAATCCAACTTTCAGCTTACTCAGCTTCACTATGATGAGCATCTGAAATGACCTGAATTAACTAACTGCTAAAATAGAATCTCACATAAATGTCAATTCTGCATTTTAAGCAGGAATTAGTAGCACTGAGCCCGGCTAGAGGAAGGCATGACAGGGCGTTTGGTAATGAAAACTTCATTGAGATGGTGAGTAATCTTCCCAGACGCCTCCAGTCTCGCAGCCCATCTGCCAGCGCCACGCGCCCAACCTGTGCTGGCAGGGTAGCACTACACACAGATAGTAGCCACTCACTGTGTGCATCCATTTACAGTAATGACTAACAGAGAGTAGCTGCCTACTGTAGCTGTACTGAGGAGTGCTTGTGGCAGGTGAAATTATCTTGTGAAAAGCCGGCTCTGTGAAAAAAACAATAAAAAGCTGGTATTCATAGCTGGAGCTAGGGAGGGAAAGAACAATAGTGTGCTTGGGAAATGGCTCATAAAAGATACTTCAAAGCAAAATAATGACAGTACTCTGTGAACATGTTCAATCGTTTCATAAGAAAAATGACACAAAAAGCTTGAAAGCAATGCTTTTGTTTCACAGTTTTTGTGTTATATCTTGAGCATTTTGGATGGGTTTTGAGGCTAATATTAGGATGTTCCAGTTCTGTGTACTGTTCTTTGTACAAGCATTTGGAGACAGAGGGTGCACAGGGACAAGGCGACAACTGTGCGTGTAAGAATACACAGTTCTGTGAGACTCAGTTCTTTGTGTTCTCCCACCCCACTGAGAGAGATAGAGGCTCTTTCACACCGACTGAGAGCGTGACACACCATGAGGCCTGTCCATCTCCTGTGTGGTACTGTTGGATGAACAGGTTTCCAAGTCACACAACTACTTCAGCTCTTGCCTTCTGCAGTTTTCACGCTATATGCATGACTCATGTCCTGTCTACTGTATACTCCAATATAGTTCATCACCCTCGGGGCTCGACTATGTATCATTGATCAGGGTTGAAGCGATGCTGGGATGCTGCTACAGCAAAGTTGAGGACTCCACTGCTCTGCCTCCTTTAGAGCTGTGAACAATAATCTTGCATGTACTGCAAACCAAAGCACCCCATCTGCCATTTTGTCAGTCAGTGCTTGTGCATTTCTTCTATTCTAACATTACCTTTTTTTAACATCTGGGTAGTTGCTCACTTAAATCTGCATTGCCGAAAAAAGCGTCCTAGGCTGTCAATTATGAAGCTAAATCCAATACAAAGTCTTTATATTGTTCTATTGCCTTGTGTTTGCAATCCTCAAAACAAAGAGCATGCATTTGCATATTGTGGTAACTCGCATGAAGGCTGAAATAAGCGCACTGGCGCAGCCGAAACCGAAACATCACAGCAATGACATGTTTTGTTTCTAACCTAATGGCGATAGATGCCAAAAAACATCCTGCCGTTCATGGCTGTGCAGGTGCAGGATCAGGATCAGGATCAGGATCAGGATCAAGCTGCCTTGTGGAGCACCGCACGCATCACATTACATAGGTAAAATGAGGACGACAAGAGAAATAACAATAAATAACAATTATTCACCATCCGGTGAGGAATGAGAATCTCGGTCTTGTCGCCATCACTCTCCTTTTCCACTTTCTGTCCCGCGACAGACTGGAAGCTGATCTTCACCATGGCTCGGTGTCACTGCTCGTCTGCTGCGGCAGGAGTCTTCGCTCTTCGTGTTAAACGATGGCTGGACACCTCCCCTCACCTCGTCGACAATCCGCCCTCTTCTCACAGCTGAGCTGCTTCTCTAGCTGGTTTTGTCTTTATCTACCGGAAGTATGCTTTTTTTGTATTAGGGGGAAAAAGGACCAGTCCGCTGTTTTCTGTTCACAGCAGTGTAAAGGATCCAACTCCCTTCAGAAAACACACCAAGCTTATTGTATCAACTCATGCAGATACAATTGCACATACACCTAATTTACCATCACTTGTTAACGAAAACATAAACACATATTTATTGACAATGTCTTAAGCAGCTATATATTTTTAATTATACTAAGTTTCTGCTAATAAAACCCACTTTGCCCATTAATCAATAAAAACTGTTTGCATCATTTTAACAAATTGGATGATTTTCTTCCAAATAGAGGTGAGGTCAAAGGACTGTGCTAGAACACGTCACTGCAATATTAGTAGCTTATATAATAAATGGTAGCTGCCACTAGTAGCAAGTGGCAGGAACGGGCTTCCATACACTTTGCAGTAACACTAAGCTGAAACTGCACTTGGCTATGTTGTGTTGACGTGGTGGTTGTGTTGTTTTAATATGTACTTAAGTACAATTACTACAGCTTTGAGTTATTTGTACTACCATTTGTGCCTAATAGGCATATTTAATGGCCTATAGGTTATTCCAGAAATATTGTACTGTTTAGTCCACTACCTTTATCTGTCAGTAACTAGTCAATGTACAGATTTCAAGTTTTCATACATAGAATATCAGACATTATAGTGTTGCATTGCGTTAGAATAAATGTTTCCCAACAAAAAAAGCAATATGTAAATATACTGAAAACATAAAAATAACATACTTTCACAAGTTGAATAGTTTTATTAATATCTACAGGATATTTGTTAAGGAATCTAAGATTAGTCTCAGATACATTTGGGTTGCCAGGTTGTGGAAAATCCATTTAGGAGGCATATTCTGCTTTGTAAAGAGCCAATCTGCATAATGTACTTTTACTTCTGACACTTGTTCATCATGCTAACAGTAAGTACTGTGTGAACACATGCCTTTCACTTGAATGGGGTATACTTACACCGTGGTAGTGTCATGTACTGATAAAAAGGGCCCACCTTAATATATCAAGATGCACCATCCAGTATTAACAGACATTTGCCAGATGAGGTGCAAATTCTGTTCTGGAAGAAAACAACCACAGATTTATTTTATTCCAAATGTTTATTTTTTGTTTTTCCTTTATTTGGATTGTAGGGCCCAGGCCTTTGACACTTTTGAAAGCACTCACACACTATGCTGAAACTGCAGTCAAAGTCAGCATACAGCCATACAGTGTTCAATTTGACATTTCAATGCTGTTACTGTAAATACTCTGGGAGGTTAATTCCAGTACAACATCTTTAGTACAGCATCATGCACAGCCAGGGCGAGGAACATGCATGTTCAATGTGCATGGAGAAACTGTGGACTGCCCCAGTGCTGCTGCTGTCAGCACTGATTTGGTTTCTTATTTGCCTGTCTGAATGTACTGTATAGACATATCATTACTTGGACTGTTTCATTCACTGCAAATTAACAAATCTGTGGTGTGATCAGCTTTACCTAGCACAAAGAAGACAACATGGCACAAAGAGCACTGCTACCCACAACGCTTTCCACTCATACTGTACTGGAATCAACAACCCCCTGAAAAGCACGGCTCAAACACAGGAAGAGGGGAAGTAAGGATGACGCGCTGAGCTGCCATCGTCCTGATGATCTCACTGCTGCAGCACACAGCACTCCTCGTTCACCAGCCAGGTGGTGAGAATGAGGGGAAGAATGAAGTTAATGAAACTGAGGAGGGAAATATCCTCTCTTGGACATCAGTTAGCTGATGATCGCTCAGCACTTCACAAAGTGCACAAACACATAGGTTTTCATGTTCCAGTTAATGCTCTCCAAATCTCCTCTCCCCCCCCTTTTCACTGTCCAACACCCCTGCACATTTCAGCAGTCAGAGATATGTAAAATGAAGTTGTAGAATAAAAAGAGGATTAACAAATCCAGAGCTAATACAATGACATTCCTCTGCTGTACAAATTGTTAATATCCTACATGTTAGCTAAATGTCAGCTGGCCCTTTAAGTTATGTACAAAGGAAGCCACCAGCAACCATTTCAGCAGTAAAATGAAATGCAAAAACACTGTTTGTTTGTTTTTCATGGTTAGAAAGCGATCTGATTACAATTAACCAAAAATGTGATGTTTAAGGTAATATGCCATGCGTCAAGGTTAAACAAAACTCTACAAAGCAACAAAAAGGCATATGTACATGTCCACCCTGTCCCAAGAACAATAAAGAGACCCAGCTCTCAGGCTTTACCAAACTCATACCGTACATCTTTCCTCATGTGCTTCAAGTGCTGTGTCGTAACAAAGCACACAGGCGGTAAATGGTTCTGGGTGATGTCCCCACAAACTGCAAACATGAACCAATGCTTCTTTATCAGATAAAGGCATAGATACAAACTGTAGCAGTTGCTGTGATGCACGTGCACGTCCGAGTCTGTGGCACTGAAAAGGGGAACCAGACTGGGCAGGCCATCACAGAGCTGGCGCCAGGTACAGCCACGGATCTGTCACATTTCAAGGCATGCAACAAACACACCAATGTTCAACTTGCTCGTACCATTTCCATCACGTTTTAGTTCTTGCGGTATGTGTATGCATATCTTTCATAATACATATAAGTGTGTAAACGTGTCTATATTTGTTCCTTGCTGTGTGGTGTGTCTATCAGGAAGTCTGGCTTACTTTAAAAGCACGAACATTTTCTCTCACTATGTTTGATGGACTGCTTTGTGATTATAATATACTTTACATGTCTCTGTGTGCAAGAAAGCAGCAACATCTATTATTTTCTCTTATTTCTTTCAAATGTTAAAGATTGAAAAATAAAACAAAAAAAATCTAATGTTCACTGTGGTGCAGAGGAGCTGGGGACTTCCTGATGAGCTGATACTGGTATGTTTGTTTTTTCTTGTTAGTTTTTCCCACTTGTACCTCAGTTGTTGTTCAGCAACCAGAACAGCAGCTGCTGATGAGTTCGTTAAGCAGATGTTGTCCAGACATGGTCCTGGTGGCTCCCACCTCTGCACCTTCCTCAGGCCTCCTGAGGGGCAGGCCTCTTGAGGTCCCTGATCTGTTTGACCAGGTAAGTCTTTTCATCATTGAACTGTTCATCCTCTGTTCTGTCATTCTGGAACTTGCTGGAGTTTGGTATGGTTCTTAAGCAGGATGTCCAGGATGGGCTGCGTCTTGTTGGGGTTGGCCACAAACACCTGGTAATGGAGGAAGAGGACAAGGATGTTGATACACATTTATGAAGACACTCTGTGTTGATATACATGTCTCTTGATACTACTTTCTTTGATACCACTCTAAGGGTGTTTGCCCACTAGGCACATGTTTTCAATGTTTTACAATCGTGGCAGCTGCTTTTAGTAACACAATATTTGAGTGTGTCATGTTAAGATTACTTTAACTTTTCATATAACTGCAGAAACATTTACTGGACATTAGTCAATTTTCCTGGACAGTTTTTGTCTGTTACTAGTCCTCATATATTTTTCTCTGTTAGCAGAAAACTGGGTGCATTACACTGTGCTCTTAATTTTCCTTTACCTCCAAGTGCTTTATTGTATCTTACTACAATGTGATTTTTACCTTAAAAACATGGAAAGCCTCAAACTGGATGTTGCGGCTCTTGTCCCGTAGCAGGTTCATCATTAGTTTGAGATTCTCTGGCTTGCTGATATATTTTGTCATTATGGTGAAATTGTGCCGGTCAAGAAGCAACTCCCCCAGTAACTAGGAGCGAAAAACAGGAAGCAATATCAGTTTGCATGTAATTCTGAAGACAGTTGTACATTTACCAAATTGATCTCTTAAAACCCTGCGGAATAATCTCCTTTAAGCACATGAATGTGAAATATAATACATTTCTTAACTGATTATCAGTTAATATATAACCCTGTGTTACTCTTTGTTTACAATCATTAATGATGATTAATAACAAACTAAAAAAATATTTAGCAGTTGCCTCCATTTAACCAGTGTGTTAAAATAACTGTCACACCACATGAATGTCATAACAGGCTTCAAACTTGGCTACAAATTTGTGCCAGTGATCAAAGCATAAGTGAGTAAAACACTATTAAAAGGGCTTTAAAAAGATGAGTTGTTTTTGGTCCCACCACTAGATGGCTGTCACAATAAAGTGGTGGAAACCGAATGGTTCAGAGAAACCTAACACTGAGAGCCCACTTTTAAAATAGCTCTCTGAATAGACTTGTGCCACTACATGAGACCTGTTTACTGGTGTGACCCAGAGTCCTTACCTTGAGGGACTGCCTTTTGGTCACGTAGTTTTCTGAGTGGAGTAATTTCTCATATTCACTAAAGAACTGGAGAGAGAGCGAGAGAAAGAGGTCGTGACAGAAAGAAGAAAAAAAAAAAAGAGAAGTGGACGGGGGCGAGAGAGTGTTATCTAAATGCGACAAGCAGTGATTTTCACAACTGCATCTGTGAATTATATCAAAACACAATGACAGGAAAATGAAAGATTCTCTCTCATAGGCTGACAGCTACTTTGTGTTCACAGGCTGCAAATTATGTCCCAAATGGCTGGTTCGATGCCGTCAGGCAAGAGGCTGCCAGCCTGCCAAACACTCAGACTATAGTCTTAATTTACATGGAACTGGTCAAAAGAAAATGATTTAGCTCCTCTGAAGTTCTGGAAGCAGCAGCATTAAGCATGGGCTTACTTTGTCGTAATGTTGCTCCAAAAACTCTGCGCTCAGTAGCTTGTGTCTTGTGAGGAGGTCCTGGGAACAGAAAAACAAAGAAATAAATTCAGAGCTAATGGTTATTGACTTTGCCTGGTCCCATTTGTGTCCTTTGTGGACAATGTAGATACCTCATGCATGTGAAAATAATCTTTAGAATTGACTGCGATGACTATTGCATTATCAGCAGTAATTGCAGCCAAAGCTACAAATTTGCTGTTTGAGCTGTTGAATTAGTTATGTTTCAAATTATACAATGTAAACAAAACACTAATTAAATACAAGTAAGAAATGTAGATGCTGAAGACAGAAGTCATGAAACCATAAAAAGCATCTGTGCTGCTTTTGACATATTATAATCACTTACAGCTTGTGACTCAGATTTGATCTTCTCACAAAAGTGAGCAAACCAATTTGGAGTTTTTCCAAATCAGATCCAGGCAACTTCCATATGTGGCATTATACTCAATCTCTGACCTTGCAAAAACAAATCATGTGGGCATTTTAAGCGTCTGAAGAATTTGCACGATTTGACTGTTACACAAATTACGTCGTCGTTATTTGTGGCTCAATTTCAGTTAAATCTGGGTAAGCGTGGCAGTTTAAGAGCTCAGCGGCGTTCACACACAGCCTAAATGAACCATCAACACAGAAAGACTGGATCTGACAAAAAAAAATCTGAATTGAATATTAAAGCCTGTAATGTGAATTCAGCCTTAACTACTTTTGAAATTATCCTTCTGCATTTTTGTTTGCAAAAGAGCCATCAGCTTGAAAATGTAAAGTGTCACAGATGTTTCAGAGCATTACTCAAAATAAATTTTGCTGAGCTGAACAAGAGAGCTGACTTACTTTGAAAGTGGCAAATGCGTCTGAGGCAATGTCGAATGTGGACATCTCCACATATCTGAAGAAGTCGTAGAACTGCTCTGACCACAGTGTGATTTTGGCCAGTGGTTCATGTCTGATGCACTCCCTCAACATGATACCGCAGTTTAGGGCAATCTCTGGAGACTCATACCTGCACAGAAGAGCAACACAGCACAAGAGTATGTTGATCTGCTGAGAGCAAAGGCTGGGAAACTGAAATCAGAGGCCATAATCATGATATACATCACCAGTTGTGATAATTGTAAAAGAAATCTGCTCCACCCACGACTACTTCTCCCTGCTCTACTACGATCTGCTACGCTCCACCACGCTCTGCCCAGCTCTTCAGCTACAGTCACAAGTAACGACACGGTTTAAAATTTGCTGCATAAAGTGGTCATGACATGTGATGTGATCTTCACCAAAGTCACTAGTGTCAACAAACTCAATATTTCTAAGCTGATAAAACACAAACAGTCATGATCTTTCATGTCTTTATTGAAGACAAAACTTCAGGCATGTTGCAATGCTGTTTTTAGAAAGCAATGGCTCCCTCTGTGGTGTCCTGCCATGGACAGCATGCCTGTTCAATATTTTGCATATGGCTGAGTCATGAACAGAGATGTTAACCAACTCAAACGAATCCTTCAGGTCTTTAGCTGTTACTCTAGGGTTCTTTTTTACCTCACTGTGCATTCTGCATTATGCCTGGACCAAGCTCAGCTGCTTATTAAATATATATAAGCAAAAAGTGGTGACTCCACTGAACAGAGATCAAATCTACTGCGCACTTTTCAAAAAGGGAAGTCTGCACTAATCACAATGGGAGTTTCTGCATATGGCACAGGTCCTCTCAAACACTGCTTTGTTACAGACTTTTAAATGGCATCCCTCAGGCTTTACTGAACAAACACAAAGGATGACATACACCAAAAGTTGTGTCGATGTTGTGAACGCATGGAATCGTTAACTATAGGTACTCGAGTTAAATGCTAGCATTGGTAGAGCATGGTTTCTGCACATTTCTAGGCATGATAGAGATTTTAAAAAAAAATGAACACTCATTATCTTTATCAGTTCTTTTGTTTGCATTCATGAAACTTAGATCATAAGAGGAAGAGAGGCAGACAACAGTTCTACTAAAACTCAGTGTTGCTTCATGGGCAGCCTTTTTTCATCCTTCTTCTTCACACAGCAGACCCTTTAAAAACATTTTCTCTCATTTCCCTTTATATTAGGAAGTTACTGGGTCTAAATGAAGAATCTAAATGATCAGTGGGGAACATGATAACACTCTGGTGTGTATGTGTGTGTTTCCTTACCCTTTAAGCAACATAAAAAGGATATTCTGCTGGGTGCAGAGGTACTCCACCGTGGGTGTTCGGGTGCCAATCTGACGCCGCAGGATATTATTGAAGATCTGAGCCACATCCTTCTTACCCTGGTGACAAAAAGAATACATAAGTAAAGGCTTGATAAAGCAGAAATGTATATTATGACGGAGAGTACAACAAACTACATGTTTTACAACACATTTCCAAACTGACAATGCAAGCAGGAGCTAGATCAGGGTGGAAAGCCAAAATGCAGCTCTAAGCATAAGGTATGGTGATTTTAGATGATGCGTCTGAGAAATGTGTACATTTTGTTTCATTTCTACGCTGCTACAATGAAACATGCCTGTCACTTTAAGGAGAAGAAAGACGCTGGCTATCCTTTCAAGATAATGACAAGGATATTGACAAACAGCTACAAAAACAAAAAGCTAAAATTAATAGAAACATTTTTGTCATGTACATCTTTTTTTTTTTTGTTACCATTCTTTACCAGCTTTTCCTCATGAACATGGAGGGAGGACGAGACAGAGTAAAAGAGGAAGAGAGAGATCACACAACAGTGAGTCATGCTGTGTTGGGGTGAGTCAAGGAAGCCTGCAGCAGTCGTTACCACACAGCACCAGTTTGACATACTGCATAGAGACATGAGCTTGCCCACATATCAACAAGGCAGATCTGTTATGACTAGCCTCAGTGCCTGAGCGTACATTTTTTAAAGACATATGCAACCTTTTGTCATATTAACAATTCATCTAAACACAAAGTCTCACCTCAAAGTCAATGAGCTGTAGGTCTGCTATGAGGGTGCTGAGCAACCCGCTGTTGTAGAGCTCCTGGGCTAACTGAGCTACTGCCTCTGTCTGGGGCTCTTTCTCATTAGTTCCATACAGGATCTCCTTCATGGCCACCAGGCTCTTTGACACCTCCTCTGCAGCCTGAATACAAGTACATACATTTCAAGTAACATAGACAACTTGTAGTTACATTGACAAAGAAAATAATGGCTCCCGTTGACATTTCAGGGATGATGTATTCCTCATGTGAAAGTGAAGAACAAGTGTGTCATGTTGACTCTACCTTCTCCGCCTTTTTGTCTGAAATGTCATGCTTCTCAAGCACTGTCATGTTATCCTTAAGGTTCTTGACGATGTCCGCCGGCGACTTGTGGGACTTGCCAAAGGGGAAAGGCATGGCGAGAAGTTACCACGAGCAACCAGGCAGCGGACTGTCCACCTGAGGAACGACACCTGAAACTGATCAGATCCCTGATAACATGGAGAAGCCTATAGTAATGCTTTTGCACTGCATATTGTCTTTCCAAATGATATCTTGTAGTGATAACAATGTTTATATGGTTAAAGAAAAGTACAGAAATACACACAAGTAGGTGTTCTAGCAGGCAAAGGAGGAGATTATAGATATATATTTTGTGACTCTCAGATTATTCAAAAGTCCTATTAATGCAGGCAAAACTATGATATCACGCATATCTGGATAAAGGATGACAAACAGATTTTAGGAGCTGTAACGGTAGAAACAGGACAACACATACATCTCTACAGTGCAGAGCTTCAACATAGAATCGCAGGTTTAAGTTTATACCAGTCTCATGTGAGGCTGGGTGACACATCAGGTCAGGATGCATTATGTTTAGTGTATTAGACAATATTATCTATTAAAGCATCACCCTCTTTTCTCACTGAAACACTCCCCCATTTGCAGAAACAGTGAGAGAAGTAATTAACTCTAGCTGGAACTCTCACAGTTCCAGTTAATGGAAGTTTGATATTAAAATAAACTAAATATTTATGCTGCTGTGTCTGTATGCTGTGAAATCATGTTTATAAAACCTACTGAAGTGAAAGCTGATAAGCCAGTGAATACAATACTGGTTTCACTCATTTGTTCACAAATACATACACTGTGCCTTTTCAGAAGTGTATTTTTCTGTAATAGAGTATATGATTGTGAATTATTCTGTGACTTCTACCTTTAGTGTAGAGCATTAAAAATAACTTCAGACCTATAGAGCAAGCAAGCAGGTAGTGCTGTTTGAGCCAGTCTCCAAAAAGTGTTTTGTTGGTGGGCCAAGTCTCATTTCAACAACTTAAGTCCACTCTGCACACCTAGTGAAACTGTGGGTGTGGTCATCAGGGGCAAAGGCAGATAAAGAAAAGCAAAAATAGCTTCTACAGTAAAACAAACTACAGAGGCAGCTAGCCCTGATGTCAAACTGTGAGTTCAGCCCTGATGAAGAAGCCATTGCCAATTTTTTAAATTCCATTAGACGTAAATGTTGGAAAAAAAACATGTGCTCTCATTTGCCTTTATGTTAGGAAGTTACTAATGTGTTAACATGTGCAAGAATCTAAATGATCAATGGGGAACATGATAAATGATAGACGCGACCTTTCACTCAGCAGTAGTACAATTGTGTGGATCTTCTGGTCACTAGTTTAACATCATACACTGAGCTGGATTTGAACCCAGGTCTCGTCAGGAACAGACCCTGACAAATGTTTCTTGCCAAAACACACTGGTCTTTACATTAAAGTTGCTCAAAACACTGGGAGTGTTGCTGGACTTTTTGTTTTCTGATCTTTTGGTCACTGTCAATTATTAACCATGCAGTGTTTACTTTGACGAAGCCTCAGACCTTTATATGACTCCCTGTGAATTAGTCTGTGATTTCACTCCCTGTATAGTGACTAAGATATTTAAGTGAACACATTACTAAATATATAGTACTCTCTCAGGTAACTAATTTAGATCAGTAATCGCAACCTTTGAGTCACCTCTCTATACAACCTGAACCACGCTACAACGACCACAGCAAAGGCATGGCCGAGTGCAACTGACAGATGTGCTACTTAACAAGGAGCCTTATCTACTCAGTTCTCTGACCTATCCAAACATTTTAATTACACTACACAGCAAAAGCCAAAGATTTATGGGAAACCAGAAGTAAGCTGAGAGAGCCTGGGCTATCACAGAGCATTTAAGACAACCTAAACGTGCTTCTGTGCAATGACAGATGAGTAATAAAAGAAAGGTGATGTAAAAGCACAACCAAAATTCATATTATTGGATTTTAGACCTTTTAAGACTTTAAGGAATGGTGGAAACCCTGTCTCAAGTAAAAATATGTTTTCACTAAGAATGCTGCCCTTTGAGACATCCTTTCCAGCATGATAATATGGATTTCCAGAACACACCAACACTAGTCATTCGGTTTAGAGGCTACATATCAGTCTAACAGTATGATACCAACCTGTATTCCTGCTAGGATCCTCTAAACTCTGAACAAAAACCCTGGAGCAGTTGCACTTCTCCTCCTATGTCTGGGCAGGGAGAGTCCACATTTAGAAAAGCAACGCTGAGGCCAGGAATACGAACCAAGCAGCGGTGAAGTGGGAGGCGCAGTCCACCTTTCATAAATGATTTGTGACCGAAACGCTTTAAGCTGTGCTTGTTCCCATCTTTATCAATCTAGAAACGCCTCCACTTCGCCAGGTGGCTAAACCAGTCTTTTGCACAGACTAATGCTCATTAATGTAGCTAGCAGGCTGCAGAACCGCCTCGCTACTCTTGACCGCTTCCGATAATAGTGACGCAGATAGGAAGGCAACACATATGGCAGCTAATATCAGCTGGTCACCTCTGACTCACAATTACACCGTTACTAATCAGGTATGGTGTGCTGGAGTAATGTCAGGCCAACAAACGTCAGAGGTGCTGTGGGCCTGTCTTTCCACAAACTGGCCTTACAAACCTCTGCCGACTCTTCCAAAGGGAATCACCGTCATGTTAGGCAGAACAAAGTTTACATATCCAGGATTACAACAGGCTCAAATATACTTAACGCCAACCACAAGAAACCAAACAAAGCAGCTCCCACCATCAGATGCTCTGCTATCATCTCACAGCAAGCTAATGCAAGTACATAAGTTAGCCATTTGGCTAACTTATGTACAGGGGTCGCAAATCGATTTCGGCTACACAAAACGTTAATATTAAAAAGTTAAACACGCATAATTTAATAAACAAGCTGCAAACCTATGACCAGTAGCTGGCTAGCATGAACCTGACAGCGAGCACCGCCCATCTTATCCATGCCTGGTTTGTGATGGTGCGAAGCGTGCCAACTTTGCGCAATGCTAATAAAATGGATGTTAGTTGCTCCGAATAATTCTGTATTTATAGCAAATGCAAGACGACTTTTAGTCACAGTCACAATAATATATCTGATTCAGCTTACTCTTTGCTGGAAAGCGGTTCCTAACCAAACGTGGCCTATAAGGTTAATGTATTTTTCAACGACTATGTACCACACAGCAGTGCCAGTTAACTTACTTTTGGCTTGCTTGCGAAAAGTGTATTTGTGGGTGTTGTTGTCGACACACAGAAGGCCTAATAGTTACAAATCTTATTAGACTTCTCTAGCTTCATTTAAAATTGCTAGGGGTACAAGAACTAAGTTGTTGATAGCCCATTTTGCGACGTAACATTGGTAATGCTAACTAGCTAACTTAGCATAACGTAAGCCAGGCCTGGCAGCGGATAGTATCGAGTTCATACCTGGCGTTAGTAGATCATCAACAGCAGGCTAGCTGCAGCTAAAACGTTTCGACTCACAGAGAGCTCTCCAACAAGCTAACGTTAGCAGATATAGCTAACTTGACAGCAGTCGTTTTACCTAAAGAAGCCTTAAGTTATGCTACAATGACTGCAAATATGTAGCTGTTCATAACAGGATGTAGTTACTACCTTGTAAAAGGCGCTTTCACTAGCGACCCCCGATTTATCAGTGACAGCAAAAGGCAATTCAGGCGCTCCTTGGAACAAAAACTCCTTTGTTTTCCTTGTTCGTAGCCTTTGTTAATTGCACTGCCCGTGTCCTAGTTCTTTCTCTCAGCCCAAATGCTTACGCTTGAAACGGAGCTGTTGTAACTGCAGCGGCATGTAGCGCCTCCTCTGGCCGTCTCGTGTCATTGTATCAGCGGTGACGGCAGGTGACCGCAGGAGGGCGCGCTCACTCCATTTACAGCTGACATTTACAACGTGATGTCTCCAGTTATCTTATTTATCTGATTTATCTACTTGTCTTGAGTTATCTGATGGGGTAGACTGGGGGCTATACAGACAGCATACGAGCAGCACTACCGTAGGACCTACAAGGTAAGTTTGCAGTTTAGCCTATGTACAGGCTAAGTCATTTCATAATTCAATGCCTCGGATAAAAATTCCCTATTGTAGGCGCATTCCTTAATGGGTCCATAACAATGACCTTTTGTGACCTGTAACACATTACTGTTTATTCGTTTTAGTCTCTCTCACACACAAACAGGACCTTTTATCCTCATAGTACCAAGATATGACTTGGTGAAACTTTGAGAAAATTGTAAATGAATAATTGTAATTATAACACACAAGAAGCTGTTTACGATGCTGACTGTAGGCTACAGAGCCTATATATACCACACCTGTGGGAGACGTCGATCTGTTTCTACTGCAGTGTTTTACTCAGTTATGAACTAGGTGGATTTAATTCATTACCCAGGTACTATCCATTACACTTGTCTAAGACGCCGGTCACCTGCCGGAGCCTCAGCATCCTCCTCCTCCTCGGCCGGACAGTCCACCCTAACTGGAGGTTATTACTCTCGTCATGCTCATTAGGATTGGATGAATATAGTCTTTGTTCAGCTCCGGTTCCCA